GAGTACTCGAGGGAGTGTGATGTCATCCCATGAGACCGCTCGTCAGCGCCGCCAGCTCCGAGTCCTCGACATCGAGCAGCGTGAAGGCTGCCGCCTGGTGGGACAGCGGAGAGGCGCTTAGAGAGTGCGACGACCTGCGCTAGCGCTCTCCCTGAGAGGCGCGGCCTGTGCACTGGAGGATGGCAGCGGCGCGGATGGAGCGAGAACGGCAGTGATGGCGTGCCCAGAGCTGAGGCTCAGCTCCGCCACCGTTGCCTCAGGCGTCAAGGCACGCCCGTCCACCGAGTGAAAGACGACCGATTCCGGCTGCACACCTGCCCATCTGCAGAAGCAGCCGATGATCCGCCGCAGCTGGTGCGCGGGTGTCGTTTTCACCATCGCCGGCCCACAGAGCTGAGGCGATCCGCCACTGCCGAACAGCGTGACGGCCAGGAGGACGTCAGGCATGGCGGGGAGGGCCAGCTGCAGTGACGCGTGCGCCTCGGGGAGGGCCAGCTGCAGTGACGCGTGCGCCTCGTGCAGCCGCAGCAGCAGACCGAGTGGTACCTGGGTAGGGCCTTCTGTTAAGGAAGAAATCTTGGCGAATGTTGTTGATTCTTTGTGCTACTCCTCTCCTTAAAATCCCTGTGTGGTGGCGGCGTGCCGTCCTCCCATCCCTCCCTTGGGTTGTCTGTTTTCTTTCTTTCTTTTTTGTGCTACCGATCAGTGTGCCTGTGGTAGTGAGAGACTGCCAGCGGGAAGCTGGAGGCAGGTCACTAGACTGAGATGAGACCGCCAGTGGAGTTGGGAGCCCACCGTGCACCGCGCTGCGAGCCTGTCGTGTCCCTTGTCAGGAGCAGGAGAGCCCCACCTGTCCCCCTCGACCAGGACAGTCCTGCTGACGGGAACGTGTCGCGCGCCGGCGACGGTTGCGGCGTGCTCGTTGTGAAGCCAAGATGGCACGACCACCGCCCTGCTTCGCAGACCGGGCAAGGAGGGGCCTGCTCCCGTTCCGCGAGGAACAGGAGGTCTCCCCCCCTCCCCCGGCCTGAGCAGCCACGGTGGAAGGCAGCCCCTGAGTCGAGGGCGGCGCGACCATTGCCGAGCTCCAGGACC